ACTATCGTTCATTTTTTTTAAATGAAAACGTCAATTGGCATACGACGAATTGACGTACGACAGATTGATTTAGATGGATTGACGGTTTCTACTTCGTGTAATCCATTTCTGTATCTTTGGTTGATCAGTATAAAATCAATTTGATTTCTTACGAGGTGCTCGTTCGTATGTTGTGGGGATTGCTACCATTGTGACCATGTTACACAATGTCTTTGAAATCACCTGCGCTGCTCTAAGTGTTCGCCATTAATCATTCGATGCCTTAGGAACCTGGTGGTGACTATCTCACGACATCGAAGCCTTTGCCATTTTTAAACACCCACACTTCAATCAATTTCCTAGCTCAAAATGCATTAGATGTTTTTCGACTATTTTTGGTGTTTAAGATCCAACAATTCGACAATTTGGAAGCCTGTGAGATGAAAATGATCCTCATCGCTGAACTTTTTCCTATTGATTTTTTAACGTACTTATTTTGGCAATTGCCTAATTATACTGCATACGGCTAGTCAGCATCAGTTCGGCGGCCATGGGTCTATGGGTTCCTTGTATACATCTTACCTTTGGACGCCACCAAGTTAATTGTGACTTAACTAGGAAGATTACTTATTGATGTTATAACAAAACTTGTACAATTGGAGCGCTTAACAATAAAACAATTAATTAGGTACAATAATGTATCTGGCTTTCTTTATTAAAAAATAATAACAATAATAATAAGGCGCCAAAAAGTGTAGCCACCAAGTAATTAGGACTTAACTATTGCGCCAATAAGTAGCCACGAAGTTATTAAAAAGGGTGTTTAGGATTAGGCTTGTACCTAATTTGTGAATATTTGAATAAATAAAAAAATGTAAATAATGAATATATGAATTTAAAATAAACAGTTTTAACTGTTAATTAACACTTGTGGAAGATTAAAAAAACAGTATAGGTTACACTCTTCCAACAGGCAAATTTAACACAGAAAGGTGAAAGTTATTGTTAGGGCAACCTCAGGGTAAAATTCTAGAATTTTATTTAAGGGGCACTTACCGAACCTAATTCAGTATCAAGTGATTTACATAAGATTTGCCTATATAGTAAAAGTGCAACTTACATGTATTCAAGTGAAATGTATGTGAAAATCCAGAAGTTTCCAAAGTGAGATTATCTACAGGTTTGGTCTCACTATAGATAGACTAAGGTATGGTAAGTGAGTCATGAGTCCTATTCACGTTGTATCTGTTTAACGTAGAACTCGACGTGGTTCTGCCAGAGTGGTACCAAGAGAGTTGCTGGAGAAAGGCTACGAAAGCCAACTAAGAGCAATCTAGATCTAGTCTAGAATCTCTTTCTAGGAGCTGTCCAACTACAGCCTAAGCCTAAGACTATCTAGCTACAGCCTGCCTCGAACTAGGACTAGGAGTAGGAGTAGGATTGTCCAACTATAGCCTGATACTAGGACCCTCAAATTAAGGGATACTCTAGACCAAAGGTGAAGTCTTAAACTTCCAAAAGCTGCTCGGAACAGTCCGAAACAAAATCCAAAATGACCAAGGGACGACTCCAGACAATTATCAATAGGAAATTAGTCTAAACCTTGAGTTCCCTGGCACAAAATTCCAAAAAGTCTCGCCCAAAATCAAATAGGCCGAGACCAACCTTTCGGTATCAAGTCTCAAGATCAAAAGGGGCAGATTCTTCATTTCGATTTCGGAAGACTTTCATCTGTCAAACTTCTAATTTTGACATTGAAGAAAATTATAGAAGAGGACGTGTTCAGTTTCACCCCAAAAGTACGAACTGAGAATCGGTTGTGTAAAAAATGACTGGTGAATGTTGAAAAGTGCCTATAGAACATCAAAAGGTAGAACAGGTCTAAAGAAAACGCCTAGACAAAACAGCTGTTCAATGACATGATGGAAATGAAAAGTCAAAGAGTAAACAACAATTATTATCATAACCTCAGATTATTGATTGGATTTGCAAACAGGGATGATGATGGTACTAACTCCTTTTCCTAAGATTCTAATCAATAACAGCGGGCCCTGCCATACTGAATCAAACCTTCCTAGATCAATTAACAAAACTTGCAAACCTGCACCAAAAAAACTTTCAGTAGAAAACAGTACTCAAGGTAACAAAATCTGGGCACAGAAAAGATAGTTGTTTATTCATTTATTTCATTGTAGTTCTATATGGAATCATATCTACTAAAGCAAAACAAGGTAGCTTATTAGCCAAGAAATTGAAAACGTTACAATTTTCCGAATGCCAATAATTTGATATCGCCAGACGGATTGCATGATCGCGGTTTCAATAGTAACAACTGAAACCATTTCTTCAAGAATTGTTCAATAAATTGATGTTATATAGGTACCTATCTCGCATGATTAGAAAAAGAGAGCTCAATTATAATAAATACAAGTTAGAAAGCAATAAAAGATGACATGCGCGCGCAACTCGTAGGCTGCAGTGTAGCCAGATTGTATTGTTGCAGAACAAATAGAGACAATTCAAATCGAACATTATAACATTAAAGAAGTGATATAGTGTCAAGTGTTTTACAACGCCTTAAATCAGACAAAAGAAGAGCCTTATTAGAGTGGATGAACAACGTTTGCACTTTTAATTTAATAAATGTTTCATCCGGCAACATCGCTCAATGAAATTGCAAAGGAATATGTCAAGTATAATCTAACATAACCCTTTACGACACTGCGGTGAGTTCAAGTAATCTGTAAAGTATTAGTTTGCTCTTTGTCGAATTACACGTTACAAAGAAAGAAGGAACGATACATTCTGAAATGGCCCCTGAATAAGAATATGACGCAAGCCTGTCACAAACTTGCTTCTCATTGGATGCTCACCTGCAGCCTACAAACGACGCGCGCAGTCCAGGTAATAGGAGATCGGTCTATTCTCACCTTTCGATTCGATGTCCAAGATGTCCGATTTAGTGTATGACAAAAATGACTACAGCAAAAATATTTGCGGCAAATTCAGAATGCAGTGCTTAACTTTCATAGAAACCAGAGAGACTTGAACAGTATAGAAATCAGTAAAAAAGTATTGAACAATTCCAATAATGGTGGTAAAATACTTCAGTGCAACAGGTTTTGTACAAGCTGCATTCTTAAAGTTAAAAATAGCATTTTTAGACCGATTTCAATGTAAAAGTTTGCGGATTAGTTACTAGTTTTTAAGAAATTAAAGGGGTACTATTTTAAAGTGCGAAGTATTCCGTTCTAGTTAAAAGGTTGGTTGAATAATTATTCGTTTTGATGGATTTCACGATTCCGAGAATTTTCTCTTTGAGATTCGCGGAGCGGAGCGAGCAATCTTAGACTTAAAAATAATATATATTTTAAATTCCCAGAAGGAAGAAACCTATGTCAAAAAGGTTTTTTACGTTTTTGGTGGGTTCACGTTTAGATTAGGTTTTTAGGCTTTCTATTCTATCCAGGAACAATTAGGCAAGGGAATTCGCCATGTTTGGTAATGGGGGTAATTCGATATTCCATAAGAAGTATATGTACCTACTGACTTTCCTCTGAGCATCTGTCACCGACATTCCTATAAGCATCTCTTCAACTCTACCAACACAACACTCAGCTGAACCATTGGATGAAAACTTTCAAAGCTACATTCCTTTGCAACTTTTTCAAATGTCACAAAATTGTATGGAACATCATTTGCAAAATACATATCTGAGAGACCTACACTAGAACTTCCCATCTCTACAAAAACTGCTAACATCAAGAGCTGCTCCAGTTCAATAATATTCTGAGATACCTCAATTTAATTCGAACAAGAATCTACATTCAATAGGTAATTTTTATATTCATAATTAAAAAAATTATCACAAAGGTATCACCAACCTCTCGTAGTTTAAAGATGACTTATTAAAGTTTCTTTCTAATTAGACTTTTTATTATACTTGACAAGTTTTACAGTTTGATATAAACGTCAATGTTTCTGCATTGCTGAACATGAACAATAGAAAACTTGTCGAGCTTTGATTCCTCGTGAAACTATTATTTTTTAAAGTGACAAAATCTAGACATTAAAAATTGTACAAACACTGGATATAATGGAGTCGCTTTAAATATGTCTAAGGACAATTTCGAATCAAATGTCTTCAACTTCTAGAGTTGCTACTTTCAAATGTTTTAAAGAAACTTGTTGGAAAATATCTTTGGAGAAACACGTTTACTTAAAGCTCCAACACACTGCTGAGTGTATTGCTCTAACACGGTCAGATTTATGCAATACCTACGGTTTTGCTCTATAAGACAATGCAGAAACCTGAATTCTCAATCGTTGGGTACTCGCCCTTAGTGCATATTGGTTCCAAGCTTGTTATGCTCTCGTTAGTGCAATATAAGCGAAAGCACGTTAACTCAGAGAAACAAGGTTTAAAGGAAATTCACAAGATAAGAAAAATATAGATCTTGTACGTGGGACCTTGAAGAAAGGGAGCCACACGCTATTAAAGGTCTATATCTCTCTTATCGTGTGATTCTACTTTAAACCTGTGTTGTCTTTGCAACAACTCCCTTTGATGCGAGACACTGTCAAGAATTCTTTTATTTTTTCAAATTTTTTTTCGTAGAGCTTTTCTTCTTCCTGATTTTAAAGGAAACATTGTTCATTTACTAAGTTTGGGTTATTTTGTGTATCACCATGAACCGATTGCGATTAAATTAAAGTTATCACATATTTGACCTTTTTATTGTGTTGAGTAATTTATAAATAATTTTATACAATATGAATAAAAAGGCATTAGATAAAAAGCATACCTAAACCTAAAACTTTAGTTACCAGGCGAATGGATGCCATATGCCATCAATCCAAAATCAAATCAAGCCCGGACAAAGGGTGTTTTTATTTGAAAAGACAAACAGAACTTTAGTGAAATTTTCAATTTTGCCCCAAAGATTTATCGACTCATCCAGTTAAATTAAATCTGATCCTACGCAAACATAAATTTCAAAACTCAAAAATATTATACCTACTTGTACTCTTGCTTCAGTCAAATCCAATCTCATAGCTAACTCCTCCCTAGTAAAAACATCCGGATACTGAGTTTTCTCGAAGGCCGACTCAAGTATATGAAGCTGATATGTGGTAAAAGTGGTCCTCGAACGTCGTACTTTTCTTGGTCGCGGTTCTTCCAAATCGTCAGAGTTTTCATTGGAAGTGCTTAGATTGTGCTTATCTTCTTCGTTGCTATTACCTATATTTTAAAAAAAAAATCTTTATTTCACTGTTGCATTGTAATCCGAAATCAAATAAAGGCTACTTGTGTGTCACCAGCAAGATTTATTTATCGATTTGTCAAAAGGCAAAAGGGGGAACTGTAGAGGCGCCCCAACTGCCGTTGACTCTTTAAAAGGCCTCTGAGAGGTTTTATTTGTTAAATAAGAAGAAGAGGCCGCAAAATTGAGCGAGGAAAGGGCGTTTTTAGGAAAGTGGGATGTGTAGATGTGTTAATACCGTTGGCTCGAACTTTTAGCGATTCTGGTTTTAAGCTGCTTTATAGATTGCTTATAAGACGTTTAAGTTTTTTAATCTACTAAACAGGTTCTAGGTATTGTCTGTTACTTATGGAGGTTTATTTCTTTTTAAAGGCTGTTATTTAAATATTTTCAAATTCCAATTTGCAGCCTTGCCAATGACAACTTGATTTGTAACTTGAGAAAGTTTAGTCAAGTGAATGGAAATAGCATGATGTGATTTTCACCGACTAAAGGCAAATAATCACGTCGAGACAGATCAGTTTAACTATAGACTTTATCGGACTCTCGAGGGAAAAAAACTGTTCTTAGAGTTCTCTATACTCTGTTTCCTTTTCGTTAGGAGAATAGAACTTCATGACGCCATAAATTTAAACAAACAAAAAAAAAGGATCGAAAAATGAGGGATTATTGTATACTACGTCAATGTAACACAGAGATGTAACAAAAGCATAAACTAGGTACTTTTTAACAATATTTGACAGACATATTCGGTACCGGCATAGAGTAGGTACCGGCTTAAATAAGATAATGTCATTTTACAAGGATTGTTCGATATTTTGGAACAAATGGTCCACCAGCGACGGTACAGGTAAGGGGCTTCAGGTAAGAACTCTAGTCATGGACATGCTAAGAAACACTTTACCTGATGTGAAAAACAGCTCAGAAGTTGAGGAATAAAAATAAGTAAAATAATCAATGCAACGAAAACAATAAAGAAGGAAATACTAACAGTTAATGTAGATAAGAGGAAAGCCTGGATGACTGATGAGATCCTGAGCTTAATGGAAGAAAGAAGAAGGAGCAAAATAAATAATGACATGGACAGATATAGGATCATTAACAACCAGATTAGAAAAAAAATCAGAGAAGCTAAACAACAAGAACTCGAAGACAAATGCACAGAGATTGAAATATCACAATCAAAGCACGACACGTTGGTCTATATAGGATGGTCAAGAAAATAACAGGAAAATACAATAAGACATCAATAGGGAAAATGACCAAGAAGAAATAATTGTAGACTATTGAACAAATAAAATTACCACAAAAATTACGTGAAAGAATTGTTCTCAGACCTAAGAGTAGAACAGCTAGTAACAGTAACGAACGAGATAACAGGACCGGACATCCTTCTAGATTGAATGAAGTTGAGGCAGCAATACCGGTCACTTAAAGATGGAAAGGCTGCTGGTCCAGATGAAGTGCAGTCAGAGACCATCAAACTCTTTGATGAAGATTTCAAAAAAGAATTTACTTGGAATGAAATATACAACAATGGAAAACTACCAAAAGAATGGTTGAGATCAGAGTTTATGGTTTTGCCAAAAAATGCAGTGATTACAGAACAATAGCCTCATGACTCACTTGTTAAAACTATTTTTTTAAATTATGCATCGGAGATTGTACAAAATCTGCGAGGAACAAGTATCACCAGTACCATTTGGTTTTATGGGAGGTCTTGGAACAAGAGACGCCTTATTCAGTGTATAGGTGCTCTTCCAACGTTGCAAAGATATGAATTGTAATATGTATGCCTGTTTTATTGACTATCAAAAGGCATTTGATAAAGTTCACCACAACAAAATGATGGAAGTTCTGCAAGATAATGGTGTTGACGGCACAGACTCACGCATAATCAAAAACCTATATTAGAATCAGTCAGCTTCTATTAGAACCAATCATGAGAAAACACAGGAAGTGGAAATTTCACGAGGAGTACGGCAGAGATGTATAGTGTCACCTCTTATATTTAACATGGACTCAGAGGCAATCTTCCAAGAAGCTCTAGAATACACGGAAGTAGGAGTACTACCTATCAAATGGCGAACGAATTAACAATTTTAGACATGCCGATGACACCGTTATTTTTTCCAACACTGCACAGGGACTATGGGTTGTCTACACCTGGAGCAAGACATTCGAAGGGGATAATTGGTAACCCCTTAAAGATGCTAACAGCTGAAGTACTGACACTAACGCGTCAACTTAGACATAATATACGACTGTGAAGCACTAGCTCCCAGAAGATAGAATTTATTTGGAGGCATGAGAAACTTGCCAGCAAACTGTTAGATTTCGACAAAGGGACGGAACTTGCGCTCAGGCAAGACGGGGGGTAATCGGGACACGAACGAACATGACTGACCCCTCCCTAATCAAACCAATTATCCATTCCTAGCAATTTTCTTTCCATAGCCATTAGCTCCGATTCCATTGCATTTAATCTGATACTCCGAAGGAATGTGAGCTGGTGGTTCCCTACATTAGAACGCCAATGGTTACCTGACGTTGTTTTGCCATATGAAACACCCCCTCGCTCTTCATATCGAAAGTGTCAGATTGAAAACGACAGACTTTACGTCCTAAACGGAACAATACATTATTTGAAAACTTGCATAATCATGTTCATGCCAATCACACTCCATTTCAGCTGTCTAAGTCTGATTTTATCTTGGTCTATACCGTTCTACGTCTTCCGATTCCCAATCTTCTATCATCCCTTTCAATCCAAAATTCCTCCTACAAACCTCTGTCCTTGATCTAACGCGCCTTCACTATTATGTATCTTACCTTCATAACTTCTCTAATTCTCTGGTTTGTCAGCCTTTTCCTTTTTGACCTGCCTGATTTTCTCTACTGAGGTTTAATATTTGCCCTCTCTGTCGACCTTATCTGTAAGGATATCAATTTTATGAAGGCAAGTGAAAGTGTTGTAAAGTATGACCTCCTTAGCTTCCTTTCTACAGCATTTCTTCTAAAATTTCAACAGGTCTAGCCTCTACATCGTCTTTTATGTATTTTATTCTATAACAGCTGTATGCAACATCCCCTTTTAACTTAAGAGTGCTTTTTAAAACTGGTACCTTTGAAAATTTGTATGGCGAATACCTACACATTTTTAAAAGTGACCAGTTTTTAAAAGCGCTTTCAAGTTATATAAAAGAGGATGTTGCATACAGCTGTAGAAGTCTTTAAGTACGGCATTCCAGGTCGCATTTCTGTATTTAATTTATTTTTCTCTTTTAATGAACAGTGCAGTTGAAATTACTGAGAAATATAGCCTAGAAGTTAACACCACTAAAACAAAAGTCATGATAATCAGCAAGGAAAGAATTGGAGGACTTCAGTTCCATCATTGAGGAAGTCGTAGAACGAGTGCCAGCATACACTTATCTTGGTACAGTACTAAATGAACAGTGGCACCATTCCCAAGAAATAAGATCAAGAATTGAAAAAGCAACAGTAGATTTCATTCAAATGTTCAAAATATTCAGAACACATAATTTAAATTTAAAATTAAAACTCAGACTACTCCGATGCTGCATATTCTCTATCTTGTTATACGGAGTAGAGTCTTGGAACTTGACGGAGGCAACAACAAAGAGACTGGAAGCATTCGAGTTGTGGACTTATGGAAGAATTCTCAAAATATCACGGATGGACAAGGTATCAAACACCCAAGTGTTGCAAAAACTTAATAAAGAAAGAGAATATCTGAAACCAAATATAAATTGCTGAAATTCACTCTACACGGAAAAGTCCAGGGTAGGAGAAGCATCGGCAGAAGACGAATATCCTGGCTGAAGAACTCAAGAACCTGGTTTGAAATATCCACCAGGTCTATTCAGAGCAGTACAAATAAAATTATCATTGCTATAATGATTGCCAACATTCGGTAATGGATATAGGCACTGGGAGAAGAAAAAGAACATCGCTTTATGGTCTTCGGCTCTTTTTTGCCTTTCCTTAGTGCTCCTAACGAAAAGGAAGCAGAGTATAAATATGTTCTGTTGATGTTGATATTCAATTCTAATCTGCCCGGAATGGCATCTATAATAGTTTTCTCTGGATACGCTCCAACACTTCAATGTCCTTTAGGAAACATCGATGATTGAGCTTGTATGATGAAGGTCCTGTAAAAACAGTAGGTACTACCTAAGCGGTACCATGAGCATTTTTTTGATTAAGTATATATTCTGCTTTTTTGTTATATTTATGATAGATAATGTGAAACAACAGGACAGTACGGCCTAGAATTACGTAACAACAGAGGCACACGACTTGTGCAGTTTTACCAAGAAGAAGAACTCGTGATCACAAATACGTGGTTCAATCTTCCATACAGGAGACTGTACACATGGACCTCTCCCCAACACACACAAAACAACATTGTAAGGAATCAGATCGACTTCATCCTGATCAACCAGCGATTTCGGAATTGCGATAAGTCAACGAAAACCTATTCTGGAGCTGACGAGCACTCGATCATAACTTGCTCTGCTCAGTAATAGGCGTAAAATTAAAAAAAAAAAGAAACAATCATCAAAGACCTGAAAAATACAACATATACTGAAGGACCTCGAAACCATCAAAGAACTAATCAAGGAAATAAATGATAATATACACACAACTATTTCACTTCCCCTCAATAACAAAAGTATCGAAGAAAATTGGCGAGATGTCAAAACTTCTTTGAGAAATGGAAGAGTTCAGCAGCTGGTAAAATCAAAGGGGAAAAATGGCAAAAAAGAATGAATGACGCAGGACATATTGAATCTTATGGGGGAGAGACGAAAACAAAACAAAAATCATAGTGAGTACAAGAGAATAAATCGGATAATCCGCAAAAAAATTAGGGTAGCAAAGGAAGTGTGGCTCCGGGAATCCTGCAAGGAAATAGAGCAAAAAGAAAACCACAACTATATAACGATGGTGG